TTATAAGAGTATTTTGAGCCAGGAGGTATTGGCACACACCTTTAGTCCCAGTACTCGGGAGGCAGAGGCAGCTGGATCTCTGAATTTGTGGCCAGTCTGGTCTACAGAGTGAGTTCCAGGGCAGCCAGAGCTACACAGAGAAACCCTGTCTTGAAATACCAAAAACCAAACAAAAAAACTAAACCAAGTGATGATGGGGCACACATTTAATCCCAGCTCTCGGGAGGCAGAGGCAGGCAGATCTTTGTGAGTTCGATGCCACCCTGGTCTACAGAGCGAGTTCCAGGATAGTCAGAGCTACTACCAGTTAGACCCTGTCTAAAAGAGAAAAACAGGCAAGGCTGGGCTGGGTGTGGAGGACTTGCCACATGGAAAGGAAGACCTGATCACCCAGGACCGTGCAAAGGCAGCCTGGGCTTAGGTCTGTGGCAGCTGGAGTGCATGCAAGCCTGTGGAAGTGATACAGGGGTAAGCAGGCAACCCTCCCTTGCCTCATCCCTTTTTCACTTCCCCAAGCTCACTGCCAAGCTGCCAAATAGTTTCAGAAATAACAAGCAAACGTTTCGAGCATGAGAAAATATTTATTTGGTCCTGGAGATTTCAACAAGTAAATTTCAGGGTGGAGCAGAGTAGTTTAGCTTGTCACATTGAAGAGTGGGATTTAGCTGCATGGCAGACCACTTGCCTGGCAAACGTGAGGCTCTCAAACTAGAAAATAGGAGAATTTAATGCTAGCTTCTGACTCGAAATTAATAGTTATAAATTTAGAATTCACTTTAAAGTGGGGATAGGCAGAGAGGAGAGGGAGGGGGAGACAGACAGAGAGAGAATGCTCAGGGCTGGAGGAATGGCTCAGTTAGGATTAACTGTGTCTCCTGCTGTTCTTGCAAAGCAACTGAGTTTCCATCCCTGCTCCAGGGATCCCAGCACCCTCTTCTGAACCCTGGGGGCATCTGCACTCACTTTTGAACATTCACAAAGAAACTTAAATTAGTTCATTTGTTCATTCAAGACAGGGTTTCCCCATGCAGATATCCTGTGGCTATCCTGAACTCACTCTGGAGACCAGGCTGGCCTTGAACTCAGAGACCCACCTGCCTCTGCCTTCTGAGTGCTGGGGTTAAAGGTGAGTGCCACCACCTTAGATACTTAATTTTTAAACATCGAAAAGCATATTGTAAACAGAAGTTGAGGGCTTATGGATAGGTATCTTTTTGAGTCCGACAATGCTATTTCAACTATTGACAAATTATGACTGAAACTAGACCGAGAAAACACCCTTCAGAAATAATTACCTGATTGAATCAAAATGTTTAGGTAATCATGACAGTTTTTAAAAAGAAGGATATACTATCAGCATATCTTGGTTTACTGGGGGACAGGTTATAAACATTGTCTAAAAGGAAACGTTACCAGGGAAACAGCTGTGTTAGCTTTACATCTCTCATTGTTTTTGACTTGCTTATGTGGCTACTGTTGCTAATGGGGGGTATGCTGGATTAAAGTTGGTGGGAACTCACTGACTCTAGACCGACAGCTGTGGAGCCAGCATGGGAACAAACTAGGCCCTCTGCATGTGGAACACGGTTGTGTGGCTTGGTGTATCTGGGCCCCCCCCCCCCCCACCTCCCTCCCGCAGCAGTGGGACCAGGATCTGTCCCTGGTGCATGAGCTAATGTTTTGGAGCACATTCCCTATGGTGGGATGGATGCTGTGCCCAGTCGTGCTGGTCGGGGAGGAGGGTGGGGGAGGTGGTTGTCCCTGCCTCAACTTAATGGGCCAGGCTTTGTTGACTGCCCATGGGAGGCCTTACCCTTTGGGAGGAGTGGAATGGGGGAGGGGTGTGCTTGGGGGGGAGGGGAACTGGAGAGAGGTGGGAGGGATAACTGTGGTTGGAATGTAAAATGAATAAAAAATAAGCAGCAACAACAACAGAAAGAATGGGAACAAAACATCAGGCAGAGAAAAGTGCTCTTCCCTCTGTTTTGTAGGCCTGTCGGGGCAACCAGCACGACGTTCCAGTGGTTCCTCTAGACGTGGTGGATCATCACACAGACTTGCAGAACAATGTAACACAGGTAGACGCTGCCTCCGTGTACACGCTGCCCGCGGGGGCGGATTTCCTCATGTGTTACTCCGTCGCCGAAGGTGAGTGAGAGCCGGATGCTGCATAGAAAAAAGCCTGTGACCTGTCTGTCACCTTTGAATTAGATTTCGTCTTTCACAATTAAATCCCCACGTTCTATGAAAAAGCCACAGACCTAGTCATGTTGAAGAAATCCTTTCTGATGAATGAAATGTAAAATACCATATGGAATAAACAACAACATTCCTGCATAATTGCATAATAATAATAACAACAACAGAGCTGTTTAATTGTATTGGGTATTAGCAGCTTGCTGCCATTTGGTGATAAAGTAACAGTGCTATTCTGATATATTTGTGGAAAGCCTTGTTGAAAAACATTTTGCTAATTTCTTTGGGTTTTTTTTGTTGTTTTGTTTTTTGTTTTTGTTTTGTTTTGTTTTGTTTTTCAAGACAGGGTTTTTCTGTGTAACTTTGAAGACCAGGCTGGCCGAGACCTTACAAAGATCCATCTGCCTCTGCCTCCCAAGTGCTGGGACTAACTGAGTGGGCCACCACTGCCCTGCAATTTGGTTTAGTTTAATCTCCAGCCATGCACTGTCACTAGCTATTATCTTATTCTAGTGTTCTTTTTTGGAGAGTGGAGGAAATTTCATTAATTCTATATATGTAAAACCATAGGATTAACATGTTTTCCTACATGAGATTAAGCAATAGATAAAACTGTAATCACACGTTGAGCAGTAGACCTTAGTCTTTCCAAAGGATTTTCGAAAGCTCTCACTTCTGTAACTTCGTTAGTCATCAAGTGTCTTTCAGTCACCTTGAAGCCAAAGGAAATGAAGTACCTCCCCCATCTTCTTTTAGGGTATTACTCTCACCGGGAGACTGTGAATGGCTCATGGTACATCCAGGATTTGTGTGAGATGCTGGCCAGGTATGGCAGCTCCTTGGAGTTCACTGAGCTGCTCACACTGGTGAACAGAAAGGTCTCTCAGCGCCGCGTGGACTTCTGCAAAGACCCAGGTGCAATAGGCAAGAAGCAGGTTCCCTGCTTTGCCTCAATGCTGACTAAAAAGTTGCGTTTCGGTCCCAAATCTAGTAAGTAGGGTCGTTGGTCCTGTCTACACACATTTCCCTTTTATCCAGCTGTCAATTGGTCGAAGCCTTTTGCCCATCAGTGTAAAATGTTTCAAGGTTTAAGGTGCTGTGGGAAAGTGCTGTTTCCTATTTGTTCATTTTTAATCATGTTGGAGATGATGAAAGGGCTAAAAGAAATCCTCAGGAAATTACTATGCATAAATGTTAGCATTTATTACATCTGTAGTAAACTGCAAGATAACCCAAAATACCAGCCAGTTTGCCTTACATTTATACAAGTTTATTGTATAATGTTTTTAAAGATTTTTGAAACTCAGAATGAGATTTTTTAATTTAATAAAATTTCTAAAACTTATAGCTTATGTAATTTATAGTGACCTATTTTACTTGGTCATATATCTGTTTATTATCTTATTTACCTATAATTAAGGCAGTTTGTGTATGAATTTAATTCCCATTTTGGAAAAAAATAAATGAACCTTAAAGAATTATTTTATGGCACCCTGAGAATTAAACATAGTATACAGTGACACATAGCCACTATAAACACACACGAAGTGACAGACACTTAACCACTATAGGCTCATAATATCTAGGCGCACACACAGTAACACATAAACAATATAAGCACACATGCCTGACACCTACCTAATATAAGCACATGTTCAGTGACACCTAGCCACATGCTCAAACAAGCAGTAACACTGAGTCACTAGGCAAACACAAGTGACACCAAGTCACTGCAAGCACACAAACAATGACTCTTAGCCACTGTGCCTACAAAGTAGTGACACTTGGCCACTCTGGCATACATGCAGGAACTCCTAGCCACTATAGGCAAAACATCTGCTGAAATGTGATTCTGCAGTAACTTAAAATGGAAGCCCCTGACATTTTTAGCAGACTCATTAAAAATATAATTAATTTTACTTGTAAGGTTCAATTCTTATGACATAACATTTTGAATAATAATACTTCATCAATAACCTGCTGGTTAAGGTGGTTAGTTATATTTGGGGCTTTGGGAACAGAAACACATTAAGTTGCTGGTATAAAAGCAATGCTTCACTCACAGAAACTGAACTGACCACCAGGGAGCCTGCATGGGATCGACCTAGGCCCTCTGCATGTATGTTATAGTTGTGTAACTTGCTCTTCTTGTGAGACTCCTAACAGTGAGAACAGGGGCTGTTTCTGACTCTGTTGCCTGCATTTGGGACCCTTTCCTTCTACTGGTTGCCTCATCCAGCCTTAATAGAAGAGGAGGTGCCTAGTCTTAATTCAACTTGATATTTCGTGGCTGGTTGATACCCATGACCTTCCTGCATCTGAAGAGAAACTATTGGGGGAGGAATTGGGAAAAGGGGAGGGAGAGGAAACTTTGGTTAAGATGTGTAAACAAAAAAAGCAATGCCTTAGATGCCTTGCTCCAGCTGGTACCACTGTGGCTAGTGGGGCATTCATACCCTTGATAAGACAGTACAGTCACACAACTGTTGAGTAATTAAAAACCCCAAACTGGGCATAGTGGCTCATACTTGTAATTACAGCACCCAGGAAATTTAGGCAGAAGGATTGCTTAGATTATGAGGCAGCTTGAGCCACAGTGTAAACCCTATCTCAAGAAATAAAACGAAGTTCAAGTTAACAAGGTGATTCCAGATGAACCTAAGGCCACAGTGAATGAATAACAATGCACTCATCATTTTACCTCCAAGTGGGGCCAGCAGGGGAGGGGTTCGGGTACCAGCAGCGCTGTCAGGGCACACAGGCCATTTGCAACATCAGTCCTACAAATTCACAAACTAAGCATCTCGAGTTCCACACATATTTATTAATCAAACAATGTCTGAAACCATCAAATGGAAATGAACATGACCTTAAAAATGTTCGGTTGGTAAGTCACAGAATTGGCCCATAGCCCCATAATGTTTAAAAACTTAAGACTAATTCTTCTTGTTGAGTTCTCCTGGCATTCGAAAATGGAGGGAGTGGCGCACGTTCTCCAGGGATTCTGTAGCCTGTTGTGAGGAAGAAAAAACAAAAAAAAACCTTAAGATCAGTGAAAATAAGAAATGCCAGCATTGCTGTTTGAGAAGAATGGTATAAATTTAACCTTTAAACGTTTAAAACCATCCTTTTTTTTAATTTTTTTTTGTTTGTTTGTTCAGTTGTTTTGTGTTTTTGAGACAGGGTCTCACTGTGTACCTTTGGCTGTCCTGAAACTGGATATGTTTCAGACCAGGTTGGCCTCGACTCCCAAAGATCTACCTGCCTCCCCCAATGCTGGAATACATCAAAGCTGTGTACTACTATGCCCAGCCTTGTGAATAATTTTTAAAAGATGAGTTTTGGCTTCATTTTATCTCATCATGGCGCTCTGAAAAGAAACTGCCCGGTAATCATTTTTGTCATGGCTTTTGTTTTGTTTTCTCAGTTCATATTCTTGTTTTGCTTTTGTTTTTCAAGGCAGGGTTTCTCTGTGTGTCTTCCTGGCTGTCCTGGAACTCACTCTATATACCAAGCTGGCCTCAAATTCACAGAGATCCACCTGCCTCTGCCTCCCAAGTGCTGGGATTAAAGGTGTGCGCCACCACTGCCCAGTCAGTTCATATACTTTTTAAAAATACCTCCCCCCCCCCAAAAAAAAAAAATCCATCCCAACCTTTTGCTAAACAATCTCAGGCTAACATTTGCATGGATTTCCTTGTCTCCCAAACCAAACCAGCTCAGTGATGTACTTGGAATAAAATACCTTGGTGAGGTCCTCCTTTAACTTGTTGTATTGTTCCACATCAAAACACTGTTGCTTTGATTTCTTGTGGAAGAACTGCAGAAACTGCCTGCTCCGAACCGACGAGTAAGTGTAGTTCTAAAGAGAGGAGACAGCACAGCTGGGATGAAGATGCTAACTCAGCACCGCCAAGGCAAAGTGGGGAGAGGAAAGGAGTATTTACAGTGCAAAGAGCCCACAGAAGTGGAGCATGCAGCTGGGACTGGGAATAGCTGCTCCTCTTACGAGCAAACTGGGAAGAGAAGATGTACACATTGAGAAAGAGGAAAAGCGGGAAGATTTGGCTCCCCCGCATTGCGACAAGCTAGTTTTGTAGTGAAAGTTCAATGTCATTGATTAATGAGGGCACGGAGAACACGAAGCCTTTATCCCAATGGAGGAGTTCATGTGTTTACACTGATTCATCTGTAGGAATTAAAATTTTCACTTTGATAAAGCCTCCATCCATCCTTGTGAAAAAGAAAAACAGCAAAAACAATTCACTAGCTTCAGGAAACTCAGGACATGAAAGGGTTTTATTGATTGATGCTTGTGCAGGCTAGTTTTATGTCAACTTGATGCAAGCTACAGTCATCTGAGAGGAGGGAACCTCAATTGAGAAACTAGATTAGGATGTTAGCAAGCCTGTAAGGCATTTCCTTAATCAGTGATAAGGGAGGGCCAGTTCGTTGTTGGTGTGCCACCCCTAGCCTGGTGGACCTGGGTGCTATAAAAAAAGCAGACTGAGCAAGCCATGAGCAACACTCCTGCATGGTCTCTGAGCCAGCTCCTGCCTCCAGGTTCCTGCCCAGTTTGACTTCCTGCCTTGGCTTCCCTCAGTGGACTGGGATTCAGGACATGAAAACCAAATAAACCCTTTCCTCCCCCAGGTACTTTTAGTCATGATGTTTCATCACAGCAGTAGAAACCCTAACCAAGACACTGTGTGACTTGGATGAGGAATTCATTAGACAGATGTTCTGACTTCCCTAACTACTTACCTGTCGAGTTATGATGAAGTATGCAAAAAAGACCATGGAATTTGCAAACGTAAGGAAGAATGTGATTGGTTCCATGATATCCCAGGAGTACACCCACCAAGTAAGCCAGGCCAGTGCCCCTCCCTGAACAGAGAGCAGAGCTAAGCCAGCCCATAGGAGTCCGCTGGTTTTGGCTTCTGACCGAGCTTCTATTCTAGCTTTGACCTGGAGGAAGGGAAAACCGTTCATTCAGTTTGCAAGTTTGCCAGCTTAAGGGGCAAACAAAAGCAACCAGAAACATGTTGCATTATTTTGAATAGGTCAGGAATGTAGAGTAATAATATTTATGAAGGATGTACAACACCCATTCCACAACATCCGCTCCACAATCTGCTATTCAGAGACTCAAGGCTGATGCTGAGGAAGCAGAGGCATCAGCTCTGGAGTCGGATCATCAGGTTCTGTAACTGATGTACACTCACAGGCCACAGGTCATTTTCCAGAGTAAAGGAAAAAGTGAGCCTACACAAAATGCCCAAATGCGCCCGTGACTGCTGGGACTCACTAATAAGAGGCATAACTCCCAAATGGATCCCACTGCAAAGCCTTCCCACCTGCTCCAGGGGCTGCAGCTGTTCCTTCAGGTGGTCAATCTTTGCCATCAGATGGCGCTCCCTTTTCTTCTGAAATTCCTCTAAATGCAAGATTGTAAATAGTCTGTGAACCAAGGATTTCAGGTTCTCTAGCTCAATCATGTGCTCTTCAGTTGGCTTCTCTGAAAAAAGGTAAGAGACATGTAGGCATTTACTACATGCTTTTTTTCCTCCAGGTAAGTCTAGACCAGTGGTTCTCAAACTGTGGGTTGTGACCCCTGGGAGGGGGGTCAAATGACTCTTTCACAGAGGTCACCTAACAGTGTCAAGAAACACCGATATTTATGTTACAGTTTATAGCAGTAGCAAAATTACAATTATGAAGTAGCAACGAAATGATTTTATGGTTCCAGGATTGCCACAAAGGGTCACAGCATTAGGAAGGTTGAGAACCACTGGTCTAGACGATCAATTCTATGTCCCAGTGGCTGGCATCTGAGCTCTGGTCTGTGGCCTACTGTGCTGTTTCAGGTTTTAGGTGATCTTCAGTCTCTTACAGTCAATCTGTAGTGGCTTTACTGTTGCTTTAAGAAAGATACATATTGGTTTGTATACAGTCTCAAGATGGAAACTGACTAACTGAACAATACCTGTTTGCAGTCTTCAAGAACCCTCACTGGCAACAAGATACATGGAGTGAGAATGAAGGGATTCGAAAGAGCACTCCAAATAATAGAATGTGAACATAGCAGTATGAAAGAAGACAAAGCAAATTTCAACCCAAAATCTGGATAGAGAAAGAAAATCACTACACAATAAAGGAGACAATCCATCAACAAGATAATAACTATAAATATGTATGCTTGGAACACTGATACACTTAGTTTCATAAACACTATTGGACAAAAAGGGACGGATAGGTCCAAATACAACAATAACAAGTGGCTTTGTTACTTTATTCTCTTTAGTAGATAATCCTAGCTGGGCATGGCAACTCATGCCATCCCTATGATCCCACCATTTGGAAGGCTAATGGGGGAGGATTGCCATGACTTCAAGGCCAGGTCAGGTACATCGTTGTGCATTGTTTTTGCTCTTTTGGCTTTTTGAGGGGCCCACCACCCAACTCCCAAATAAATCACACATGGAGTCTTAGCTTGGCTTGTTGCTAGCCAGCTTTTCTTTCTTCCTTTCTTCCTTTCTTTCTTTCTGTCTGTCTGTCTGTCTGTCTGTCTGTCTGTCTTTCTTTCTTTTCTTTCTTCCTTCCATTCTTTTTGTTTTTTGTTTGTTTGTTTGTTTTGTTTTTTGTCTTTGGTTTTTCGAGACAGGGTTTCTCTGTGTAGCTTTGGAGCCTATCCTGACACTTGCTCTGTAGACCAGGCTGGCCTCGAACTCACAGGGATCTGCCTGCCTCTGCCTCCCGGAGTGCTGGGACTAAAGGTGTGCTCCACCTCCATCCGGCAAGCCAGCTTTTCTTAACTTACATTAACCCATCTACCTTTTCCCTCTGGGCTTTTATCTTTCTTACTTCTGTATGTCTTACCTTCCTTCTTACTCTGTGGCTGGCCCCTGACGTCCTCTCCTCCTTGTTCTCTCCTTGCTCCTCTTTCATTGTTTCTCCTATTTATTCTCTCTGTCAGCCAGCCCCGCCTATCCTGGTTCCTGCCTCACTATTGCCTGTTCAGCTCTTTATTAGGACCATCAAGTGTTTTAGACAGTAATACAGCTTCACAGAGTTAAACAAATGCAGCATAAACAAAAGTCACACACCTTAAAATAACATTCTACCACATTACATAGCTCCAGTCTTGGCTATAGAATAAAAATCTGCCTCAAAATTATATATATTACAAAAATTTATGTATATATTACATCCACATATATATGTTTGGATTTTATATGTAATCCATCAGATTAGAGAGTCAACAGACTTCAGAGTTAAACTGCACCAAAGATCAAATAAGTTTGACAGACATCTGTAGAATAATCCATCTAAAACCTACGGGGTACACATTTTTTTTTGCCAGCCCATGGAATTTTTCCAAAAACAGACCACATATTCATATTATAAAGAGCAAGTCTTAACAAATATAAAAAAATAAAAAAGAATTTCTTTCATCTTATCAGATCATAATGATTATAATTTCTAGTATAATCACAATAGACATCAACAACATACTGTACAAACCTGGAGAGTGAACAAGAGACTCTTGAATAAGTGGGTCTTTGGAAAGAATCAGGAAGGAAATGGAAATGTTTGTTCTAAAACAAAAGGAAAATACTGCTTCCCAAAATGTTGAATATATAGTTCTAAAAGGATAGTTTATAACTGAGTACTACATTAAAAGATTAGATCTCAAATAAGTAACCTAACCTTATTGCTCATTATAGATCGGGGTTTTAGGTTATTGATATGTGTCTTGAATTTTATTCACCTGGTCTTATAAAAACAGAAGTAAGGCAAACCCTAAATTAAATGGGAAGGAATAAAGACTAAGGTGGAACTTAATGAAACGTACTAAAACAACAATGGATTAGTAGAACAAGTTGGTCCTTTAAGAAGAAAAACAAGATGACAAGCCTTTAATCAAATTAGTCATAAAAAAAATAAAATGGGCCCAGTGGTGGTGGCACACACCTTTAATCCCAGCACTCAAGATGCAGGGGCAGGTGGATCTCTGAGTTCAAGGCCAGCCTGGTCTTCAAAGAAAGTTCCAGGACAGTCTCCAAAACCTACAGAGAAACCCTGTGTTGAAAAACAAAAACAAACAAACAAAAAAGTAAAAGAAAATGCAAAAGGAAGTATATTGCAGCCAGGAAGTGGTGGTGCACGCCTTTAATCCCAGCACTCGGGAGGCAGAGGCAGGTGGATCTCTGTGAGTTCGAGGCCAGCCTGGTCTCCAGAGTGAGTGCCAGGATAGGCTCCAAAGCTACACAGAGGAACCTTGTCTCTAAAAACCAAAAGGAAAATAAAAATTTCAAGTCCCTTTTTTTTTTTTTTTTTTTGAGACAGGGTTTCTTTGTGTAGCCCTGGCTGTCCTGGAAGCAGCACTGTAAAGACCAGGCTGATATGGAACTCTGCCTCCCAAGTGCTGGGGTGAAAGGCGTGCACCACCCGACGCCCAGCTTGAAATGATTGTTTGAACTTTAAATTTGTAATTTAATAGATTCTTCTTTAAATAATCCACCCGCTTCTATTGATTTCTGCCCAGTCATGTACACTGTGCCCTTCGTTGTTCATTCTGTCTGTGTAACACAGGTTTCTTAGCATGCAGTAAAACACTGAGGATAGCTAGTCTGGGGATCACTGGACCAAGAGCTCAATCCTGACACAGCACGCCCCTCACAGACCCCACATTTCCTGTGAGCTGGAGGGAGCTGGGGACCGAGCCTTGCTTGGCCCTTGCGGACCTAACATTCCATGTTGGGATTTGGAAGAGAGAGGGAGGTTACATCACAGCTTTGGAATAATTAAACTGAGATATGTGTCTTAATTGACTTTTTAAAAAACTGTCTTTCCACCGGGCGTCGGTGGTGCACGCCTTTAATCCCAGCACTTAGGAGGCAGAGGCAGGCAGATCTCTGTGAGTTCGAGGCCAGCCTGTTCTCCAGAGCGAGTGCCAGGATAGGCTCCAAAGCTACACAGAGAAACCCTGTCTCAAAGCAAAACAAAACAACAACAACAAAAAAATGTCTTCCCGTGGACCTGCCTTTCTCTAGGTTTTTCCAGGGACACCATAGGCTCTGAGGACTCCTCTGCCACAGCCTGCCTCATCTCCCCTCGGAACCTCCATGGGCAACATGGGTCCCTAAGGTTCCTGGGGAGCTGCTCCAGGGTGCTGGGTACCACGTGCTGGCTTCATTCATAGCCGTGCTTCAGGTTGTCATCTTCAAGGGCGATGACTTGTTCCTGGATCTGGTGCTGCAGCACCGGCTCCTGCACCGGCTCCTTCACCCACTCCAGCAGCTCCTAGATGTGGGGAAGGACCCTCCAAGTGCTGGATCTGGGCTGGGATGGTGGCCGAGTTGGTCAGCCTGCACGGGGCTGGTCTTCAGGGTGGCTGCCTGCACTTCAGAATTGCTTTCTTAAAACAATCCGGAACCTCCAGCTCAGGGGTGGCACCACCCACAGTGGGATATGCCCTTCCATAACAATCATTAATCAAAAAAAAAAAAAGTGCCCAAATTTGCCTATAGGGCAGTCTTATGGAGGGATTTTCTCAGTTGAGGTTCCCTCTTCCTGCATGACCCTATTTTGTTCTGTAAGACCCTCAGAAAGCTGAGGCTTCCAGAATCTTAGCCCAGGACGGCGGCCACCCCAAACACAGAATGGAGGTGAAAGCTTGATGCAAACTGCATGAGGCTTTATTGTAATTTAA